TCGAAGGCCAAGAGGCCTTCCCACTTTGTATTTGCAGGATCGCACACTGATCGTTTCCTTGATTGTCGATATGGGTTTTTCACCCGGCCCACGAGGGCGCGGTTTTCCTGTATAGTAAGTTGTTGAAGGTCCGGTACGCCCTAGGGCACAGCGGTGTAGGAATAATAATAATAATATATTCGCACTAGGCGGCCGACATCGACTCCAGAAACCGCACGATATCGTCCAGCTCCTCCGGTTCCTTTATCCAGTGTCCTTCTTGCTCTGCCCCTGAATACTCGCGCCATTCAACGTTCAGGCCAATTCTACCCAGAACAATAGCCGCCCGCCGCCCCAAACTGACATCCACATAAGCATCGTCAGTTCCATGGCCTAGGAACACTGGAACCGACAACAAGCCATGCTGGGAAGCACTCGGTTCCTGTAGCGTCCTCCGTGTTGCGCCAGCCATCTCCTCCACGAAAGCATCAGAGTCAGCCTCTCTGGCGTCAGCCCGGATGGTGTCTTGCTGCGCCTGAGCCTCCTGGCCAAGGTGCCGGTCAAGCTCGTCAGCGAACGGGAGCCAAGTGCTCGCCCCAACAAATCCCCCCAGACGTCCGGCTGAGCCGTCGGCACCCGCACAGAGCAAAGACCACAGCCCGATAGCACCTCCCTGGCTGATCCCCCCCAGCACCACCTTGCCAGAGGCACCGCCCAGCCTGTCAACCTCTGCCCCAAGCAGTCGGGTCAGGTAGCGCACCGAGTCCCTGATCCCAGCCATCTGCAAGTCTTGCCTTGCCGTGGGGTCCGTCAGGGAGTGCGCCTCAAACCACGCCGGCATGTCTTCCTCAAACATCGTGCTCCACAGCTCAGCAGACGACGGGAAGACCCAGCGCCAGGACCCGAGGTGTTCTTGTAGTGTCTTGCCGGTGGAGAGCTTGGACTCAAAGAGTTCCTCGGCGAATTCTTCGCCAGTACTGCCGCGGCCGTGAAGGAGAATGATTGTGTGGGTGTGCGGAGCGCGAGGCTCTACGACATGGATAGGTCCGAAGTTGGTCATGGCTGGTTTCTGAATGACGCGGCGTGACGGCGAGCTTGATGTGGTCGTGTGGAAGGCGAAGTTGAATTTGACCAGGTAAAAGGAGGACTGGAAATTCGTCAAGGCGAGACTGTGAGAGCTGGCGGCCTAAGAACGTAACGGATTTTGGCACTTAAGAATGGAAGTCTTGTGAGAACAGAGAGGGGCACTGCACAGGATAGTGTACTGTATAGCCGCTTCGTGACAAATAAGCGCTGGAATTCATGGATTGAGCCTCACTCTGCAAACGCCCCGTCGGCGGTTGGTCCAGATTCCTCGAGCAACGAAACCTTGCTGCGCGCCAAAGTTGGTGTTTGACAGTGACCGCCTGCCCGCTTTCACCGTTTCATCCTAGCCACCGGTCAAGGAGTGTATCAATGGAATATTCAACTGGCCATGACCCAATGGCGTCTGTTGGAAGGTATTCAAGCCAGTCGAACAGTTTCCCATGCGCGTTGATTGTAGAGAGAGCTTTGACAAACTCCCAATGCTCCGGATACCAGCCGCTCAGTTCCCAATCCAAGAGCGCGGTGACTCGGATCTTGCTCTCAGTTTGGTCAGGCGCGCTGCCCCTTCCGTCGGCTTCCCACTTGACCATGATGTTTCTTGGATGTAGATCGCCATGTGTCATCACGAGCCGGTGGTCGTCTCTCATCGCAGACCGGATCATGGCTATCCAGGCAGTGGCAGATCTCCCAGGTTGGTGACACAGGAAATCGTTGAATTGCGCTTCAGTCTCAATCGCGCGCTCACTCAGGCGTTGCTGTCTTCTCATGTCCTTGCAGATCGCGGATGTGAACCCGCCAAATCTTGGCTTGTCGCCCTGATGCGGATCTTGCGCGTACGGTCTATCGCGGAGTGCACGGAATATGTCGTTGAGCTGGTTTCTTATCGAGATCTTGTGCTCCGTAGAGAGGCCTGGCCACAGAGACTCGAGCGTGACGCCATCAGCCCGGGACACAAAGACGTAAGTCTTTTGCCTCGCTGTCAGGCAGCCCAGATACGACGGTGCAGGGACTCCTGGGGCGTGGGTGTTGATGTATCTCAGATTCTCCACCTCGTCGGGATCAAGCGAAGAACCGATCTTTATAACCACCGACTCTCCGAGGCCGATGACAACGGTGCCGTGCAATGCCCAGAGTACTTGACCGTTTTTGATCGCCTTGTTAATGCCGGCGGCCAACTCGCCTGTTTTGTGAGGATCGGCGCCCGGGCGGCAGTCGTGATCATTCAAGCCAACCAGTTGCATGACACTCTGGTCGAGATCATGGGTGATTTGAATGGGCGGTTTCACGAGAAAGTCCTGCCATTGCGCGTCTCTGGGGCTCGTACCAGTTGTGCTTCCTTCCGGCTGCCTCTGCTCAGTTTGCTGCGCTGCTCGGGGCTGTTGGCCTTTCGCTGCAACCTTCTTCTGCGCAGCGTGTTCAAGCGTCCCTCGAAGCTGTGAATACGAGTTCGCCTGCTGCTTCAGGGTCAGCGCTAAGTCTGCTGTTGGATCGCTCTTGAGTTTCGACTTCAACCGGTTGAGTGTGAGGGTATTGGCCAGCTCGTGGGCTTTGTCGATCTCGGGCCCCGCAAGCTAACTCTGGTCGCCCCGCTGCAGCGACTCGTTCATAGCTGCAAGTTTATCGGTTGTTGGCGATGGTGCGGATGGTAGTTGAGAATGATGTTTTAGTCATGGTCTTTGGCAGGGTCGAAGAATATGTTGACTCCAGGTGAGACGACCGTGCCAATCCCGCTCTCTCGCCGGCCAATCAGCTTTCAGCCTCGGTCATTGACGCCAGATGCAACGCTGCTGCTTGCCTCGCCGTCTTGGCGCCCTGCGAACAGGGGACGGGATCCTGGCGCTGAAAATGCATCTCCATCGCGAATGCGCGGAACGTGTTCTAGAGGACTCGATGGGGGTGAACGAAGTAGAATGGGCGACGCCTTCCGGCCTCCGTCGCCGGCGCCGTTTGGAGTCGTTACAGAGGCGGCCCCGGCTCGGGAACGCGAACGGGATCTCGTCCGGCAGAACATCGGGCAAGCGTTGGGCCGGGGCAGCTGAGTCAGCAGCCGCAGTCTGCAACGCCAGAGATTTTGCTTTGACAGCTAACCTAGCACGCCTCCCACTGGAAGTCCATAGCACAGCACCCGCAAATAATGATACGTCTGAGGTTCATTCGACTTGTTTCAAAGAAACGTCGATCACTCCCGTCAATAAGGTTCCTGGTGCCGCTGTGGAGAACACCAGCAATCAAATTCATCATGATGGGATATCCCGAGCGTCAACCACAACACCGGCGGCCGTAGAGGTGCTGGGGGTACATAAAACAGTACCCACAGATGAGGCTGCGCCCGAGTGCCGTTCGACTCGTTCCAAGAAGCCGTCCACAGATTCCGTCAAAGGAGTCCCGAATGCTGTCCTGGAGGCCAGCAATAGCAGTCAACCCCATCCTAGTGAGATACCCGCACCGTCAATCACGACACTACCAACAAAGGTTGTAACGAACGGGGAGCAACAAACCGGAGGATGGTCAGCGGCACAAGGATCTGGGGAGAGCTGGAACTGTTGGAACCCAACAACTTTCCCAATGTCGATTGATAGGAAGACATCCGCAGATGTTGACGGTTACGCCACGGATCAATCTGTCGGAACGAAGCCGCCTTGATGGCTGCATTCAACGGACCTCGGTGGTTGATTGGTGCCAGCACTGCAACCCCTCTTCCTTACATACTTAGTCCTCTCCCATGCCCATCAACAGCATGGTCAATCAATCACTTTTACCACCTTAAAAATTCAATCCACTGCTTTGACTGGGAATAGCTTCTTCCAGCGCATATCTCAGCGGTCATCGCCCTGCAGGTTCCAACACAATCCACCGCTCCCAAAGCTCCTGTCCATGCCCTAGACGGACCACAACCCGTAACGGTGTCGACATCAACTGGGCCAGGTTCAAGTGTGGCTTTGCCGCTAGTTTATAACGGAGCCATGATTTACGACAGCCGCGCCGCGAAAGCCATGGTCTCCCCGAAAGTGACCGCAAAATATCAGAAGCCGACGCGGAAACTCACCACAGTCCGAGAGCTGGCGCAGTACTTCCCGGACCGTTACGAATATCGCCCAGAAAGCGCTCGCATTTTGGGTACTAACCACAGCGATTTTGCACAACCCGCCACTCGCCGGACATCGTCCTCGGGCACAGCCGGCCGCAGGCGAAAGACAATACCGAAATGCCGGGAGTGCAAGGAAAAAGGACGACGAGTACTGCCCAGGCACAGTGCCGACTACGCCGTATTTGCCCTCTCCAGAAACGGACTTCAACCCGACAAACGTCAGTCCGGTGGCCAAGGCCTCGTACTACCTCACTCTTGGCCTGGAACGGACGGTGGACGGTGATCGGGTGTGCTACATGTGCTTTGGCAGCTTGGGAAGTGGGCCGGAAGCGTGCCGGAAGCGTGCCGTTGCAAAGGCTGAGTCCGACTCTCGTCGCCATTAACACGGACTTATCACTCGGTCGCAAAGTGGTTGTGAGCTCGGTCTCTCTCAAGGACAGGGCGAGCACCCTTGGCTTGTCCCTCCACTACTCACTGCAAACTGCCACGATTCATGAATTCTCAGGCCGAAAACACAGACACGCTACACGAATTTCGCCACCGGAAACGGGGCAATACCATCGCCAAAGCAGTGCCCAGAACCCACGAACTCCTTGACGGTGAAAACCATGCTGAAAATAGGCACAAGTCGAAGGCATTCGCTCAGTACTGACAAAAGGTCATCAGCGACAGGATGAAGCCGTGAGAACAATATCGCTGTTGTCTAGAGAACGATTGGAATCACACCAGGCTATGATCAATTGGGCGGCCCACGACAGAAATCAGTCCTAAAAAAGACGGTGAGTTCATGTGCTTCCAGAACGAAAAAGTTTGAGTTCCTCCGGGCTGATGGTCTCCGCAGGTGAGCTCGTGTGGCCACCATTTTGCGCCGCCGCCCCCAGGACCACATATTCACTCCCCTCAGTGTCTCCTCCTTAGCCCAATCTCCAAACCCAACGGCTTCCTCAAGAAGCCCTCCCTGGTATCCATGTGGTTCTGCCTCAAAACCACTTCATACCGCCTCGCCCAGGTCGCCACAATCAACTTCATCTCCATCTCCGCCACATTCCTCCCCACACATGCCCTCGGCCCGTAGCTAAACGGGATAAACGCGTTCTTCTGCCTCGGCGTCAAGCTCTCCCACCGCTCAGGCCGAAACACATCCGCATCCGGGCCCCAGATCTCCTTGGAGTGATGGATCGAGTACGTCGGCACGCTGAGAACGGTGCCGGGCGGGAAGTAATGGCCCTTATAGTGCAGCCCCTTGCTGTCAGGGGGCACCTGTCTAGGCAGGCCGATGCCCGAGGTGGAGTGGAAGCGGAGCGTCTCGTTAACGACGGCCGAGAGGTACGGCAGGTCGCGGACCATGTCGAAGGTTGGCACGTCCAAATCGGCGGGGATGGCGGCGTCGAGCTCTGTCTGGAGCTTTTGGATCACGCCCGGGGTGCGCACAGCGTGGAAGAGGAGGGCGCACGACGAGTTGGAGGTTGTGTCGCTGCCGGCGATGAGCTGCGTCAGCGCCTCGGCCGTGAGCTCCTGCCGGCCAAGGGGCTCGCCCTTCTCGTCGCGGCCTTCAATCAGCCGTTGAAGGAGGTCCTTGCGCTGGGCCGGAGGCGGGTTCTCCAGGCGGGCCTTGACGCGCGCGATGGCGATGCCCGCGAGGTTCTCAACTGCTTGCAGGCCCTTGCTAAAGAAGGGGTCCGGGAAGTACTTGGCGTAGGGCTTGAGCTGAGGGAGGATGCCCAGGGTGGCGGACACTTCACCGCGACGGTTGAGAATCTCGATCGCTGGGGCGTAGATGGGCGGGCTGTCAGGAGAAGAGCGAACCTCGGCCATGTCGGCGCCGGATGAGAGCATGCCAAACGGCGCACCGAAAGCGAGGTCACCGATGACATCGAAGGCGAGGTAGTTGAACCAGTTCAGGCAGTCGACATAGGCAGCGCCATCGGGGTTGTTGGAGCGCGAAATCAAACTGTCCAGCTGCCGGACGAAGAGCTCGAGATTGCTATGGATGTAGGGCTCGAACTGGGCAACCGACTTGACAGAAAAGGTGTGCGAAACAATCTTGCGCTTGCGTGAGTGCTCGGCGCGATCTCTTGTGTTGAACAAGCCTCTTTGGATGCTGACGAAAGCATCATAGAAGTCCCTGGGAATGAACATCAGTGCCGTGCCGCATCTTGCTTCACTGGATGTACTCACGCTTTTAGGAATCCATTGCCATGGCCATAGACAACCTGAATGGCCTCGTCATCGCAGAGGCTTACATGGTTGGGTTGGATGCGCACAACGGGACCCAGATTCTTGTGCAGCTTGTCGACGGTCTCGTATCGATTGCCTCGGCGACACACCAGCAAAAGCCACCAGTTTGTGAATTGGGCAGGGAACGGCCCCGGGATCCATCGCAAGTGTCGGTAGGTCACGAGATATGGGTATGCGTAGTAGGCCACAGCAGCGACCAGGAGGGCGGCTGGCGCCCATGGCGAGAGGAGGAATGTAACGATGGCCATCTTCTGTCAGGTCGCAGCACACAAGAGGGCAAAACATTGGGCATTGGAGACAAGACAAACCTTGGGTACCGGCGATATATATTGAAATCAGCTGCATCCGTCCGCCATTCCATGACACACTGGGGTCCCCACTTCACCTTCCTCGTGAGTCTGACTGGTTAGCAGTCGGCGAGACCAAGCGTGAGAGCAGATCTTGTTGCTGAACTCAGCCTCGTGCCACGAGCTAGCCCCCGGCAGCCGGGGTCGGCATGGAAATCTGGGCTCTGTGATACGTCCCGGCGAGTCCGCAACATCCGCCCGAATTCTGCAAGGCCGGCTCCGTCATCTTGGTGTACGGAGTCCCACCCCCCAATGCGGGGATGCGGAGGCTTCGACCTGCCGGCATCGTGCACCGGCATTTCGCATTTCGTGGAGAGGATGGGCCGTGGCCGAGGAGACGTCATAAGTATTGGTCGGAAGGTTTCGCTCTTCTCGCGACTCCGAACCGGTGCCAAGCGAGTCAGGGGCGACTCAAGCCTAAAAATCCAGGAGAAGTGGATACCCAGGGGGTTTGAAAGAGACAAGGGCGCGTTTTAGCTTGGCGTGCTGTAGCTCGCGAGGGAAGACTCATTTCCAGTGGCAACCCGCTCGCGTTGAATCCTTTGCACGACCCAGCAGTGGCCGACGACGCCATGATGTCGGAGCCTTTGAGATCTACTTCATTGGCGCTTGATTTGAACGGGTTCGAGCTGGCCGGCTGGAGGCGTTGATGCCTCATTCGCGTCATGAGGTCCTTGCACGTGGCGTCCAGTCTCGAGACCTGGGGGTTTCAGCCCTAAGCCATGCCACGACACTGCTATCAGCCGCTCGTTTTTGGGACGGCCGTAAAGGATGAGCGAGAATCCTCAAAGGCGCCTTGATCCAGGAGGATGAGGGACCTAGATATTTGGGTGTGGTGCTGCACAGCACTTAGGCATCATCCGCCTTCCAAGACAACAACACCCGGACTTAAACCCTACGTATATAAACGCCTCGAAAATCCAGCTTCCAACATCCGACTGCTCACCGTGCTGGATGTCACCCCAACAAACCTCATCTGCACGCTCCGCGAGATAGCATCGCCCGATGCAGAACAGTATGACTGTCTCTCCTACACATGGGGCGACCCGTTCGGCCGAGTCGTCAACCCCACGCCGCCGCAGAAAGAGATCCGTTGCGACGGACGCCTGCTCCTCATCGGCCAGAATCTTCACGACGCGCTCGTCCACCTCCACGGCATCGCCACCCTCAGAAGCACCCTCGCGGCCATCTGGGTCGACGCCATCTGCATCAACCAGGACAAAGAGTCCGAGAAGGCCCACCAGATTAGAATGATGCACAAGATTTACGCGAGCGCCTCGCGCGTCATCATCTGGCTGGGCCCGGATGAGACGGACAGCGGCGACGGCGGGGTGGCAGCAGAACTTCGAGTCGTCGTGGCAACGATGCGCCAGGAGCTTGGCGATAGCATGGCCGCTGTCGAGGCCCGTCTCGAGGAGCTGCGCGACGGAGAGCGGGCGGAGAAGGCGGATCTGCCGCTAATCCACGCTATCAAACCCGATTCGTGGATGGCTGTGCGGGACATCATATCCCAGCGTGCCTACTGGCTGCGGCTGTGGGTGTGGCAGGAAGTCATGGCCGCGAAGCAGGACCCCGTCGTCGTGTGTGGACAGCAGGTCATGACGTGGGAGGAGGTCCGGCTCGCGTCCGGCGGGCTCACCACCTTTGGGGATGCAGCCATGACCCGGCGGGGCAGGCCACCGCCGGTTCGGAACGAGGTGAAGAATGGGGACTGGCTGGCGCCGAACTTGCCGCACACGATGGCGTGGTGGCGGGACATGTACGTGGAGAACGGCGCCGACTGGATCAAGCAAAAGTTTGGGCGGCTGGTCCTGTCGCTGAATCGCAACCTGTACGTGTGCTGGGACGAGAGAGACAAGATCTACGCGCACCTGGGCCTCTGCCAGCGGGAGCAGCTCGCCAAGTGGAGATTTTCGAAGTCGTTCGACAAGTTGTATCTGCGGTTCTGGTGCGAGGTGATGCAGAGGACGAAGGAGGTGAATTTCCTGACCTTTGTGGAGGACGCCGCGTCGAGGAGCCAGCGGCCCAGGATGCGGCGCGATGGGGAAAAGGTCAAGGAGCTACCGTCTTGGGTTCCCGACCTGCGCTGCCGTCTGGAACCGCCGAGCATGTGGGACTATTTCCAGTCCGTCGAGTGTTTCAATGTCTCCAGGGGCCTGGAGGCGAGCAAGGGGCTAGAAGTGTTCGAGAAGCAGCGACGGATGCGCGTGTGGGGATATCGCTTCGACCGAGTGAAACGATGCGGCGAGACCAGCACAGAAGCTGCCGAGCGGTACTCCCTCCCCGGTATTGTCGCCATGCTCGGCGCTATTGCCACAAGCCCTGAAACGCCATATGGCTCGCAAGAGAATGCATTCGACGCAATCTGGACCTCGATAGCGATCTTGACCGACTCGGAAACCGACCCCAGCTTTCCCATTCCGGAATCCCACAAGGAGCGGGCCATGCTGTGGTTGTATGATGCCATGGCCGCCGGCAAGGTGTTCCGCAAGACCAACACATACACCCAGGAGCAGGAGCGGCTTTTCCACGAGTTTGTCGACGTTGGGGGACGAGAGCTGCTCTCTAACGTAAACCAGTACGCCCAGGCCCACAGAAATCATCTCGCAGGCATGGTTGCCCGTGTTCGATCGCCGAGCGCTGCGGGCGTGGATGCCTCGGAGCCTTTACCGGCCCTTAATCAACAGCCTGGGACAGGACATATTGGGATGGCTGCCGTTGCAGTGGGAGGGTATGGGCTCCGGCGGATGAGACTGTTCATGACCGAGGAAGGATGGGTCGGCAAGGGTCCAGAGTCGATGGAGCATGGGGATGAGATTTGGATTATCCCTGGGGGAGAAGTTGCTTTCGTGCTGCGGAGCAGGGGCCGCAACTGCAGGGGCCGCAACTTCACCTACATCGGCCACGCCTACGTCCACGGTATAATGGATGGGCAAGAATGCTTACGCAGATTCCGTGGCGTCCCTATGACAGAGATTAACTTGATATAGGGCAACTCTCAAACGTTTGGAGCGTCGGCGATTGACGTCGCGCAGTCATAACTAGCCCTCCCACCGCCGTTGTTCTGGCTGTGTAGACGGTGATCATGCCGGGGTACCTCAGCGCCGATACCGTGCACCGGAAAACGAAAAGATATACGAAAACAGCGCCATGTTCATGATAGTACATTGCTCGCTAGCAGTCGCTCGTACACTTAACGAAGCATGTAAGAAAGGTCTGGAAGACTCGCAATGATGCGTTGCGCGGTTTCATCATGTGCGTCCTGCGCATTGCTGACTAGTGACCTCGTTGGTCTCACTGGCGTCGATGATGGGTAGGGCCTAGCAGGTATTGGTGGCGGCATGGAGCTCGCCGGCGCCAATTCAGAGGCAGTTGTTGGACCCTTAGCCGGCGTGCGTTGGAGTTTGGCGGTAGAGGGGGATGACTCTGCATGATCCGACCCGAATACCGAGAAATCAGCCTTTCCCCAGGGATCCTCTATGACTTGCGCAACTGGTCGTAGCTCTTGCGAGACGGGTGCTGCAGAAACCGGGACAGCGACCGGTGCTTGCAAGGATGAGCCGTCTGTGGCATGCTGGGACGCCACAGGCGAAGTAACCATTTCGCCCCATTCATCGTCGCCGTCGCCGCGGTCAACCATGTTACCATGGGATCGAGGAACCGTACTTCCAGTGGTGGTCTCTAGCTTGGGTGAGACAGGAGGCCTATCCGAAGTCTTTGTTTGTGATGTAGGAGCAACGGGAGCCGAGAACGCCGCAGTCCCATCGGGAGGCTTTGCTTCCATGTTCACCTCATCAGTTTGGGCTGAGGGAGCAGGTAAGCTGCTGTCCCAACCAAATGAAGCAGCAGCTGGCCCAGCGCTACCTGATGCGCGATGTGTGGGGCCTTGCAGCGGAGACCTCGCAGGACCGTCGATCCCTTTGAGGCCGGCGGTGGGAAGTGATTGGAGTGACGAGGCTCTCGAGTGCGAAGCTCTCTTCTTCCCAAACACAGCGTCCAGGGCAACGGGCTCTGCGGATGAATCCCATCCAAACATATTCTTTTGCGTCTTGGATATCCCGCCGCCAAGTGCAACACGCCCTGCAATGGAGTCTTCCTCCATCCAACGGCGGACAATCTTGATGGTATCATGATGAACGCTTGATGAGGGCCAGGCAACCCTCCTGTAATTGTCGTCGTCTCCAGCATTGTGTCTCCGAGATGACCCTAACCGGGAAATGCGATACCAGGTTTTGCGCTCCGAGATCTTAGCAAAACTGTCGCTTATGATGTGATCCGGTAACTCAAATTCCACGATACTTGTCTTGACGGGCTCTGTCGGAGCCATAAACAGCTCGGAAAGTGAAACTAGGTCCACAGGAAAATCCAGAGGACCAAACTTGGCGATTGGAGATGGGGTCGAGGTCTTGTCGGGTGGAGGTGACGACAATGCAGCGGGGGCTGTGTTGAGCACTTGTGGAAGTTCTGGTGGGGTTTCTGCCACTGAGGGTTCAGCGACAGGTAGAGATTCGGTTTGGTCAGTCTCCTCGAAGTCCCCGAAGTCGCTGGGCTCACTTGAGCTCTCGCCGGCGGCCACTCTTAGGGGACTCCTGCTACGCGCCCTTTGAATAGGCTCGCGTTCCTCGCTAGCTGCCCTGGCAAGTCCATCAAATTTGACGACAAGCTCTTGAACTTTCCCCGAGAGTTTTCTAGATATCGGTCGTAGTGTCTTGGGTTCCTCATCGTCGGACGTACCCGGCGACGCCTGGCGCTCCTCCTCCTGGTCTGTTTTGTCGTTAGAGGGCGTCGACGACTGATAATCGCGGTTCTGTGCTGCCAAATCGACACTAACGCGCACGTGGCTGTCAGAAGCTGACGCGGGCTGTTCCTCAAGCTCGTCTTCGGCAATATGCTTGGGGTTGACGGTATTCGATTGGTGCGGTTCAGTAGGGCTCTGCTCGGACGTATCAACCGCGTTTGTCTTATCCCACACTCTGCCTTCTTCAATCACCAAGCCATCCTTCCCCAACAGGTCAGGTGGGGCTTCGACGGGTGATGCGGCTTCGACAACCAGACGAGGGGTGGAGGCAGCCTCATTCGAAGGTCTCCGGGAAGAGAATCCGCTAGCCCACGGGTCTGGAGATGGCTGTCGAAATGCGGAGTCATTTCTTGGTTTTGGCGTGGCTACGCTGACAGGCCACGCAATCGGGCTGGCCTTGCTGAGGAAATCTTCTCGTGGTGTGGCGGCTAGATTTGGACTCGAACCTCCCCAGGCCCCGGCCCAAATGGAATGCGCTGGGGGCGTCTCAGAAGCTGTCGCCCATTCCCCGAAACCGTCTTCGTCACCTCCCCAGGGTGGCTGTTCTGGCGCAGCAGGTATTCGGGGAGAGCTGGAGGCGGAGAGGAAGGCCCGTGGCGGCAAAGCAATGTCGGACTTGATCGGCGAAAGTTGTTTTTGGTCCTTGTCCGTGTCTGGCGCTGCCCAGGGTGAGCCCCACGGATCGTCCATCATGTATCACGCTGACTGTCATGTTGTGAGCGGCCGCTCATGTCCACAGCTCGGTATGCGTCAGGGAGCAACAGTCGGTAGAATCGAATCAGCGGGAAAGGGGTAAGTTGACAGCCAATCGGTGTTGCGTTGAGACCGGAACAAGTAACCTGGCGTCAAGAACGGTTGGAACAAGCCATGAATCTGTTGGATGACGTTCGCTTAGGGAGTAGGTTCGAGTTGACTCTCGGGGTCGAATGCGACCGCGCCAAGGTGGTGGAAGCTTCAGCGGTTGGAGAGAAACAACATCAGCGGTTACGAATCGGTCGCCGTATGATTTGCCGTACCACCACGCCAGACGTTGGCCTAGAAGTTCCTTGCGTGTCGAGGCGCGTGTGGTCAACTTCAATTCGAAAGTCTCAAGAAGGAGGAAACATTGTCAATGGCAGGCATTATGCATGGCTTGGCGGCCGGTTGACGGCGCGCTTGGCGTGGCACGGCAGCGCCCCACCCCCGCTGCTGATAAAGCAAGTGGCCAATTTAGGAGGTTGAACTTGACTCCAGCAAAATGTCATCACCCACGATGTTCTCCGCAGGTTCAACCACCTTGGGGGACGACTTCGGGGATTCTTGAACACCGATTTATTCATAGATTCAGCTTCACCATGTCGCTCTCCAAAGTCAAACACATCGTTCTGGTAAGAAGCTCTCGGTGTCCCGACCCCGCTCCGATATGAAGGCAACAACTCTAACCCTCGATTTGACCAGGTGCTTTCAGGAAAAGGGGGTGTCGGCAAATCATCTGTTACAACCCAACTCGCGTTATCTCTTTCTCTCGCAGGCCACTCAGTCGGCGTCCTCGATGTCGATCTCACGGGCCCGTCCATCCCCCGCATGTTCGGGATTGAAGATGCAAAAGTGACACAGGCGCCTGGCGGATGGCTGCCCATTACCGTCCATTCAGCCGACCAATCCTCGGGTATTGGGTCGCTACGAGTCATGAGTCTCGGGTTTCTCCTGCCACGCCGGGGCGATGCGGTGGTATGGCGCGGGCCGAAGAAAACAGCCATGGTACGGCAGTTCCTGTCGGACGTGTTCTGGGACGAACTGGATTACCTCTTGATTGACACACCGCCGGGGACAAGCGATGAGCACATCTCGTTGGCCGAGACGCTGTTGCAGAAGGCGCGAAGCGATCAGCTTGCCGGTGCGGTCGTCGTGACAACGCCACAGGCCGTGGCTACTGCCGACGTCAGGAAAGAACTCAACTTCTGTACAAAAACGGGCATCCGTGTCCTCGGCGTTGTCGAAAACATGAGCGGCTTCGTGTGCCCGAACTGCAGCGAATGCACCAATATCTTCATGAGCGGCGGAGGAGAGATCATGGCCAAGGACTTCAACGTTCGGTTTCTTGGGCGAATTCCCATCGACCCCCAGTTCTTGGTATTGATCGAAACTGGGAAGCAACCAAGGTATCCCGAGGGCACATCAGTCAATGGACAGGATATATCCTCGCCGCCGGAGGTCATCGGCGGGGATCAAGACACCCGGAATTCCGCTCTCTTGGTGCATAAATACAAGAGTTGCTCTCTTGCCCCGATCTTCGGCGCTATCACAGCAGACGTCGTGGCCGATGTCGCCGCTGCCGCACATTAACCTAACAGGACAGAGCACTGCACATCATGGCTCATACCAAGGCACGGTTCTAGGGGTCCGGCTTTGGCAACTGTCGAGTCTAGACTGCCCTGTCAACCTCTGGCCGCAGAATCTTGATGACGACTATTCGAGATTGTGCCACCCAGTCAGGGGCTGACTGAGTCTGGTCGCCGGGAAGTCCCAGGTTCCGAATGTGAAGCTCGCTTGCACCATAATGCTGCGTCTGAACGAAGATGACCATGCCCATATACTGGGCATTGCCCGCCACGCCTCGCAATAGGGTTACCCTCTTGCTTGACCGCCATTCGGGTCAGGGCGATTCCGGTGGCAGAGGAACGAAACACGGATCTGGTTGCTGTCGGATAGTCATCACAATCAGACAAATCAAGCCCAAGGGATGGCATGTGCGTTCAGCATCCAACTTTGCGATGCGTGCCCTATCCTTGACCTACCAGTTGCCCTGCCGTCGCCAAAATCACTGACAGTCGAATCGGGAGGTACTGTGAGTAACTGTATTCGCTAAACGCCGCTTCGAAACCGCTCGTCAGAAAGTGGCCCACGAGAACGGAGAGACGAAGCAGTGAAATGTTGGATATCGGCTGCGGGCGTCGGTCCGGAGTTTCCGTCGCGTATCTGCATCGCGGCCGTCTGTAAGGCCCAGTTGCCCGATAGGAAGCTAGCCAAAGCAGTGACACGATAGTGGGTGGAATATTCTGTACTGGCAAAACCTACCTCTAATTAGTTCAAAGTGTTAGGTATCTTGATCGTCCAGAAATCGGGCGTCTTCTGCAGGGCACAGAAGCCGGTATCCTTTTTGACCTTGACCAAGGCTCGGGCAATCCCGGCCGTGAGCTTGTTGGAACCCAATCGCCGCTCTGGCGGCGGGCAACTCAATTGCGGGGCGGAAAAGAGCTGCATCGACCGACCTCACTCACGTGCTTCTACAACATGCAAATGTTCAAGTATCTGCGCCCGCACGGTATTCGGTTGGTAATCAATGTGCTTGAACGTGATGGGTGGTTACATGTTTCAAGCAAGCAAGAAATTTGACACAGTTCGCAGGTTGTAACCGCCTGTTTCCGCTGGGCATAGTAAAGGTACGGATCCGTACCTGGTATCCGTATCTCCATTGATCACAGTCGCACTACGAAGGAGGGTGACAGAATGCCCTCAGCGAAAGTGTGTGGGACGGAAATGGAAAGACCCGCCCAATTCTTGGCGCTGCCCTGAATTTTGGTGCCCCGCTAACCTCCGAGCTTAGCTATCGAGAGATTTAAATTCTGCCGCCGAGTTCAGTAGCTCTGCTTTCAATTGTCGTTCTGGGCTGCGAAAAACACGCATTCTATTGACAGTCGGAGTTGCTGCGAATACACCATTTACGAGCGAAAACCCAGACGGTTCATTTGCCGTGGTGCCCCACTGAGGATATTGTCCCTCAACAACTTCGCTGTTCCCAACTGGTCATAACCCGCCGCTCTACAGGACACCCCGCCTCCGCCATGCTGAGAAGGCTATAACGACGACGTCTCAGCCTGCGCAGCTTTCACTTGCACCGGATTATATACCCTTTCGCTTGTCTCCCCGGTCAATGACCTCAATTGATCTCCTGCGCTTCCTCTCCAAGCCCGCAAAGTACCACTCCACAATCCGCTGCGCTTTACACAGTCGAGATGCCCGCTAACCACATGGCTTCCAGGCCTCGATAGCACGATTCTTGACCGTTAACCCTCACCAGATCTCGCGCTTGCTCGATCATCCAATCCCAGTCGCCTGTCCGAGCTTGCCACTGCCGATACACGGCTGAGGTATCGGCGCAACTTTTAACCACGGCTCACTCCAAGAACCAGCCCAACATACCGTTCACAAGGCTCTATCACTATCCCGTCCGTGGCCGGCCTCCCTAACGTCCCCTTGTGACGTTCGACTCTCCCACCAGCACACTGCAGCTGGCTTAGCCAGCATATCGAACGACACCACTTCCTGTGGGCCTACTCTCTCAAACGGACACCGCAAGGTTCGTTTGAGCGGCAGCTAGTGTCCCGCGGACGCTTCCACCACAGGCGGCACCTCGAATACCCCTCACCGGTTGACCATGGCTAATCTCGATATCCCCGCCAACTACACCCTTCCGCCGGGCCCGGGAAGTCTGCACCTGACCATCAACCATGATGTTGCCGCCGACCTAGACTCGAGCAATGCCTTCGAGGGCCCCGAAAAGCTCCTCGAGGTTTGGTTCTCGCCGAGCCCGAATGCTCTGCCACCCAGCGCCAGAGAGAACGGTCTGAAGGCGGTTAGCCCTTCCACTTGGGAAGGGATGCTAGATCTCGTCAACTGCAAGGTCCTGTCCATTGTCAAGTCTGACCATGTCGACGCTTATCTCCTTTCCGAGTCCAGCATGTTCGTCTTCCCGCACAAACTCATCCTCAAGACGTGCGGAACGACGACCCTGCTGCTGGGACTGCGCCGCCTCCTGCGCATCGCTGCTGTGGATGCCGGTTTTCCCTTCCACAACGCCGCCTCGCTTGACGACATTCATGTCGCCGCCACCCCGCACCGCGTCTTCTACAGTCGCAAGAACTTTCTCTTCCCCGACCGACAGCGCGGTCCCCATTCGAGCTGGAAGGAGGAAGTCAAGTTCCTAGACGATACGTTCGAGAACGGCAGTGCGTACATGGTCGGACGGATGAATGCCGATCATTGGTACCTCTACATGACGTCGCCTTCTGGCACGACTCTGACGCCACCTCTGACCCCTCGTTCCAGCAACCATGGCAGTCCCGTCCGCAACTCCAAGATCCCGACTGGCATAGTGTCGCCTTTCGGCGGAGCTGTCGATGACACCGCGGATGAAACCCTTGAGGTTCTGATGATGGATCTTGACCCCGAGCTTGCAAAGCAGTTCTACCTGGAACAGGCGAGTGCGGTCGCCAGTGAACGGGTGCCTGCCCAGGCTCAGGAAGCTCGTCGTGCCGCCCAAGACAGCCTGGGAGACATCGATTCGACTGTTGATGTCTTCGCCAATTGCGGAGAGTCTGATCTCTCGGGCAATCAGGGTACCGATGCTGAGATGACCAGTACCGAAGCATTGACTACCGAAGGGCATGCGCTTGGCACGGTTGTTTCCGAGACCTGCGGCCTCGCCCAAGTGTACCCTACCTCGGCCTACCCGGATGCGCGCATCGACGCCTATCTTTTCTCGCCGTGCGGCTACTCTGCCAACGGCGTCGTTCCCGCCCCGGCCTCTGGCGCAGACGAAAAGACCAAGCCTGCGCATTACTGGACCGTCCATGTCACGCCGGAGCCCATCTGCTCGTATGCCTCGTTCGAGACCAACGTTCCGAGCGGCCAGAATGGGCGTCAGACCTCAGACATCATCGAGCATGTTGTCAACATCTTTAAACCCGGCCGGTTTACTGTGACCTTTTTCGAGGCCAAGAACAAGCAAGCTGATGGCGATGCTGACCTTCAAACTGCTCGCGGAGCAGGCGCCCACAAGCGCATGGACGGTGTCAAGGGTTATCGTCGCATGGATCGTATTGTCCACGAGTTTGACGACTACTTTCTCGTTTTCCGTTATTTTGAGCGCGAGGGATGGGCTGGCGACAAGCGCGCCAGAGTGGGTGAGGATTATTAGGCATTTGTGGGTACTGATTGGGGATGCAACTGGGTACGAGTTACGACTTTCCTGTTCGCCGTTCCTGTTTCGTGCTGCAAGATTGGGTGATTCTGTCTCCTGTGTTTATCCACCTTGGATTCTGCCTGTTTTCTATACCTTGACTCAGGAACTGTTTCATACTAGCGTTGTTGTTTTGGAATGCCAGTCGCGTTTCTTGGGATATCTCTGGGTGGCTGTCGAACTCCGTCACACATTCCAACCGTGTCTCAGTTTGAGACTTGCTGCCGCTCGAGTCTTGGACCTCCTGGCCTTAAATGTCCCCAGTCCCCGCCGCCGTGTCGAAGAATGTCATCCATCACAGTTGGCGGGCCATTCTTCCATCATCTGCCATGTCCACCTTGCGAAATTATCTGGGCTGGATGTGGATGGCCATCCCACCATGTCCTCATCTCAGAGCATCATGGCGAAGTTATTGACGCGTCTGAGCTAGCCAGGGCCTCTTATTTGGTCGTTTGCTCTTTCCAAGGCTTCCTCCACGCCCTTTCGTTTTGCTACCGCCGGCTAAACGTCTTTCGCACCTACATCCGGTAGATATGCCCTCTTCGGTTCATACACCGTTTTCGGTTTCATACACCGATAATCAGCCGGAAAGTCAGAGCTCCAGAGGGCAGCACATCACGCAGTGGCTGCCACAGTTGGTTCTCGCAGCCCTGATATCTATTGCTGTGGCGTCCATAGTCGGAGTGTCGCCCTCTGCAGTGGCTTTCAGTAATAGGCGACGAGTTGGGAAAGCCTAGACATGGTGGTTAGCTGGCGATGAGTGTAGGCGGTGTGACTCCGGTGACTGATCAGATTGGAGTGAACACTCGCCCAAAGATGGAGTTCCAGATCCGATGAGCCTGCCTCGGCATCTTCCTCAGCCGCCTGCAGGTCTCGACGAGGGCTGCGGACCGAGGCAGTCGTTAGCTGACACCCGCATTCGCATCTCCAGTCCACGTCTTCGCTCTGCTACATCTCACTGCACCTCCTTGCGTCTCGCAAAGGAGAGAGCCTCTACCTCAGTCCGCCCCTCCCATCATTGCGCCACCTGCTCCACTCCTGGTCAACCCTCATAATCCGCATAACAGCCGCACTCTAGTCCGGCGCTCGCGCCGCTGTCGCGGTAGCCATCTATGGCGGCGGCGGTGGCAACAACACATCACACCTCAACGTCGACATATTTGCCTGCGCTACCATCTCCGTTTTCAGGTGTCTCATCATCGCCGTCATCCAACTCGCCTCTCGCCCTTTCACCCTTCCTTGGATATCTCCTCCGTCTTTCGAAGAAGAGACGTCCACAGAGACAGGGAGTTCCACAATTTGGCGAAAAGACGGCCGCGCTAAGCACCGCGGGCAGCAGCGCCGTCAGCAGCGACAGGAGCACGGACGGAACACTCCCCGGCTCCCCATCGCCTACCGCCCAACGCTCCAAGGCTTCCACACCCTCCACGCCTGGTTCGTCCGCTGCGTCATCTTCTTCCAAGGTGCTGCTCAGCGGAACAACGAGCCGAACCACCTCCACTACCCGCTCCCGACATTGGAAACGGGATCCGCACAACGAGGGATATCATTCAGCTGCCCCCTCCGCCCTCGCCGGAACTACAACGCCACACATCGGCTGGCCTGACCGGCGACAGTGCGTCAGATGCCAGCAATGCCGCCGAGTTGAGTAGCTGGGCGGGGGAAGTGAGCAAGCTTGAGGAGGAGCCGGTTCCGAGTCCTTCCGGACTCGGATTCGTATTTTGCTGGCGCTTCGCCTTGTTCCAGCGCAGGGAGCTCGCCTGGGTGGTCTGTGCAGAAAAGTAATGAGGTGAAATGAAAGCAACCTGTTGCCTCTGAAAGCAAGGCTGCTTGGGTTGGGGGCAGCGGTCGGGGTGCTACGGTGCAGGGTCCGTCGGAGTTTGGGTTTGGGAGGAAGCGTGTTGCGATGCCGGCTTTCGAAGGTAAGGCCAGCGGTGGTGGTTCCGGCGATGGGCTCGGGAAGGGTAATAGAGATCAGGGTGTTGGCGCTCCTGCTCCGCCTCCCGCATCCCAGCCGCCCGTCCCAACGTACTACGTTCCTGGAGCATGGGTGTTACAGGGCATTGTTGAGGAGACAACTGGGAACGTCTGAACATTTTCCTTACATGATATAAATCATGTCCGGGTATGCGGTCTGGATGCTCTTTGTCCGTTCTTGGCCCCTTGAGATGGCGCATTTGGAGGCCACTCGGTTTTGTGATGCCGAACAGATTCTGTCACCTCTTGGGGCCGGCGAGGGCCAGGACAGTGACCTCCACCTAGTCAACAGGTTAGCATATCATATCGTGAGTCTTTCGGTCTAATTCTCACTACCACAATAAGCTGTCGGAGATTGTGGAGTCTCTCTTCAAGTTCGATCTAACTTACTGGAGGAGGAACTCCCTTTGGGACTTGATTCCCGGTTGGAATCCTGACGACTTTTTATGTGAAGGCGTCGGCGAAACCAGCAGGTTTGGCACCTCAATTACGAAACCCGTGATAAAACCCCGCAGCTAGACAAGTGCTTGTAGGGCGTACGGGAGTAAGCATCTGCATCCTCCACGAGCACGGATTACAGGTCAGCACTTCACAACTACTCCATCATGGTCCCCGTTCGACCGGCATTGCCCGGAGATCTCGACGCCATCGCGGCTATTCACACTTACTATGTGCTAAACACCGTAATTGCCATGAGCCCCAATGCCTCCCAAGCAAAGCTTATGAAACACATTGACTGACCGAGCACTGATGACTGGACAACCACTGCAGGTAAACTCATTCACCGCCAAGCCACGCTGAGCAGAACAGCACCACTCAACCTATCAGCACATCGTCTCTGATGGCCTGCCCTACCTCGTGGCTGTCGATGACGACGACGACTCGTCGGATCGGTCCTTGCCGGCCACCGTGCTCGGCTACGCGAACGCTCACGACTTTCGTGGCGGCGTCGAAAGTGCCTACCGGCACACGGTCGAAATCTCGCTCTTCTGCCATCCCGACCACAGGAGCAAGGGCGTGGGGTCGTTGCTACTTGAGAAGCTGGTCTCTGCGCTTAGAAACCCGGCGAGGCACCCGGTTTTGCATCTTCCTGATGCACGGGGAAAGGAGAGGAAGGTGAAGGAGGTGATGGCTGTTATGGCTGTGGACGACCTGGGGGAGGGAGGGGGTTTGAAAGTGTGAAGACCTTTATGAGACGTTTGGGTTTGTACTCGTGAGTCGCCTGGGGCAAGCCTATGAAGAAACTGCGGTCTGCGAAACTGGGTTAAGCTCGGCCGATGGTAGGTAGTTCTTCAGATCAAAGTGGGGTCTCCGATACAAAGGCATTGAGTGGGCTGACAGATGAGGATGCTATAGGGTTGATACCATGTATCTACAACTTCCCGCTTTAAGTTGTCATAGCTGAAGCGCCGACAATGCCATAAGACCATCCGTTTACTTCCTCTCCCATGAATTTCAACGCTAGCTCCGGCAGGACCGGCAAAAGAGATCTAGAACGCGGGATTGCGATTGTTGTAGACGTGCGACCCAGTACTACGTGGTGACTGCGACACAAGTGAACCTCGTCCAAGGGCTTGCACATAATCAAATCCACTCAGACAACCCGAATATTAGGTAGACAAGGTATCCATCACTCAGAAGCGAGTGGCTTCTGCGTATATACGGTTTTTCTGCGAGCTTCGTCAGCATGAACACATGCCAAGGCCACAACCATCTGCTTCGCGGCACAAGATCACTCACAAGGGATAATAGGCGTGATACGACGGGTTCTTGATGGCCTGGCGCACCTTCGCGAGCAGAACCGTGACTTCGTCGGGCCGCCAGCCGAGGACCTGGGTGCAAATATACGTGGCGAAGCCCTCGAGCCCTTGCTCGAGACTCAGCCGGTTGAACAGGCCGACCTCCTTCCACCGGGAATCCGCCGCCCACCCGCCGATGGGCAGCCGGACCGAGCTGGTGTGCAGGGTGCCCGTGAATCCGGCGCCGCGCAGCCAGCCTTCCCAGTGGTCGGTCACCTCGAACGAGCGCCCCATCTTGCGGCCCGCCTCGCGGAAGACGGCGCCCCAGTCGTGCCATACACAGTCATCAGGCAGCGGGGCGTCGTTGCCGGCGATGGGCAGGGCAAACTCCTGCTGCTCGAGCCAGCCGCCCGGCTTGAGGCAGCGCAGGCACTCGGCGTACAGCCGCTCCCAGTCACGGACACAGCCGACCAATCCCCGGATGTGGATGTAGTCGAACGTGTCGTCCGGGTACGTCCAGGGATAGTCCTCGCAGTTGTCAAGCTCGAATTTGCAGTTGGGCGGCACCCAGACCGGTTGGATGGGCGAGAGATCGGTGCCGATCACCTCAGCTGAAGGGTGTTGGTCGGCGAAGTCGCTGTTTGTTCAGAAGGCGGTAGGGTTTCACTGTTTAGTGAGATGCTTCACGCACGCCTCGAGGACGTTGAGAGAGTCGGCTTACATTGCCCAGATACCGGTCCCAGTCCCCAGATCCAGCACCTTCTGCGGGTTCTCGAGGGGTGCGAGATGCAGCTTGTTGTTGAATGCGACATACATCATGTGGTGGCTTTATTGGCAGGCCTGGCGTCAGCTTCAGTCTGATATGCGCGGTTAGAGAGGGACTCACGCCATATCCAGGCCCTCGTTCTGCCGGTCGTCATTTGGGCCCCTTGAACCCAATGCGTCTGAGGTTAGCAGAAGCTGAGGAATCAATGCTCCCGCGGTCCAGGGGCTTCATACCAGTATTCTGCATCCTTGAAGTTTTGGTAGGTCCGCCCATGCAGCCTACGGTACTCCAAGATTGTAGAGTTGATGGATGTGGTTGAGCTCGAGTTGCTCTCTCTATCACATTTGCCATGTTAGCAGGCGATGTGTGTAGGCGGTGTGATTCCGGTGACTGATCAGATTGGTGTGAACACTCACCCAAAGATGGAGTCCAGATCCGATGAGCCTGCCTCGGCATCTTCCTCAGCCGCCTGCAGCCGGAGCGGATCTGAGACTGGCTCGGCGCTGCTGTCAGCGGCCGGAGGAGACGGCGACTTGGATGGTGATTTCGGCTTGTCGCCCATAATAATGAAAGCCGGCAAGTCTCGAGGTTGATCTTGGGACCTTCCGTCGCTGGTGACGAGTGAAATGCGGGAATACGCCGTGCTGTATCAGGGTGATGATAATGGATTTTGTGTCCAAGAAGGGAATAACTGAGGGGTTAAGATGTCGAGAATCCCACCTCGTTTACAATCGCACGTTTACCAATCGTTGCAGCTTGAGCAGAGCAAGGGTTGAACCCCGGTACTGGGTGCAACCCCCACGCTCGCCATGTTCAGCCTTGTTGGATTTATCCCACTTAGACGCCGCATAGCTGTCGCGGGTGATAGATACACCCAGGTCCCGCACGTATGGTTCTCGAATCAGCCGCATGCCGTAGGTAATTGTCCCCAGTTTGTGGATGAGCCCTGCCCACCCCTCTTCCGCATGCTCGACGTTGAAGCCCGAAGTCGTCTTTGCCCACCTGGTCTATTGCTCGCCAGTCGCTGCGTTACAGAGACTGCCGGATAGCCGTTTATATTTCTTAGTCCTCGGAGTTGCCTTCTTGAGGAGTTGTCAGAAGCCATATACTAAGAGCAAGGTGCCTTGGTGGCTCTGTGAGAGAGACCACTCAAGCAAGTGGTGCGCAGCACGTCCTGCTATTGAGTGTAATACAAAGAAGAGACAATATCTGGGTGGGTGCCACGAGTTGAACGACCATCTGCAGCCAGGAATAACTTGAAGGTTGAAAATAATCCGTTCATACGACAAGTACAGGGAAATACACAGCGAAGATTATATACCAATAACTAACCCGGCGGTCGTCACTGCCACTCTCTTTGTATTGTCCGATCCCAACCGTTAGGGTCCCATCCGTGGAGGAGGGATTGCTAACCGATCATCAAGGTCGCTGGTTTTGAAGAGAAAAAGCGCCGAGGAAGTGGGTAGTGCTGAGAGGTTGGCCCCATCCGCTTCCCATCATACGCCAAGCCGAAGTTCGCTTGACATAGCCAGCGCATTTGAGGCTCAGGCGATCTTGGTCTAGAATTCCGCCTCCCGGGTGATTCGCTGTCGGCAGACTTTTCGGCCGATCGATGGTGAGGGCAGACATGACGAGGTGGTGTAATGTACATGTAGATGGCAGTGTGTGGCTTCGAGGCTGTCTGCTCAGACCTGGTATCGTGCGGTGACGCAGGTGACTCCCAGATGCCTTGATGTAGTCGCACAGATCGTCGTCCATTAGTACTGCTCATCCTTCAGACGCTTCCGCTCCAGACGGGCAAGAATCCTTTCCTTCTCTTCTAGTGCCCGCTTCTCCTCGTATTCGCGGGCCGCCTTGTGGGTACGTTCCAACGAAGCCTTGTCTGAGCGTTCATTCAACTTCTCCTTGGCGTCCGCGAGGGTAGACTTGATGCTGCCGACGATCGACTCGGAACGGGGTGTGGCGGCACGTTGGATCGGCGTAACCCTAGGAGCGCTTATGTCGACGACACGCGGCGCCTGCCATGACCCTCCGGTCGGCCCAAGGTCTATCGATAGTGGTTTCAGCCTGGCCAAGCGCCGGAACCATGGCTGGTGCAGAAACCATGTTTGGGCAGTGTGCAATAGAGATGTGACGAAGAAGTACCATGTCAGGCCGGCGGGGAAGAAAAGCGAGACGGCAGTCGAAATCGGCATGACGACAAGGCTCATAATCTTCATGATCTTTTGCTGCTGGGGCGCCATATAGGGAAGCGGTATCTGGTTCACACGGTCAGGTGTCATGTATCAAATCGGTCGTCGCAGGGCTTCGAGAATGGGGGCGGAGCCTACTCTGATACCCAGCATAACAAGAAGACCTGTGGCAATTGGCAATATGAAGAGCGGGTCGGAAACGGTCAGGTCGGTAAACCACAGTAGGCCGCCGGTTTCGAACGAGGGAACCGGGAGAGACGACATGCCCCTAATAATGCGGAACATGCAAAATGTAATGGGAATCTGTATCATGGGGAGAACGCTCTTCCACATCGAGTAGCCAGCTGCCTTGTTCATCAGGCTAACCTTGGCCCGAGCCTCGGCGCCAGCAAGGTGGTTGCCAGTGACCAGCATGCGCTTCACCTCCTCGGTCGCAGCAGTGTATTTTGGGTCCTTCAGCAGCTCTTGGTACTTCTGCGCGTTCTCGGAAGCGTCCAGGGCGGGTTTGAAGAGAGCCAATCGGACGCCGACAGCGAGAATGGCGATGGATGCCCACCATGGGAGGCCGGTGTAGATGTAGATTGACTCGAGCAGGGACTGCAGGACGGAGGACGGGCCCCAGCCGTACTCAAGGCCGAGGGTTTTTAGGAACCCAATTTGCTCCGGAATGTCCAGAAGATCGCTCCCGGTCAGCTTAACGGGAGTTCCGGTGACGTCGGCGAGGGTCGAGGCATCGGGAACCGGGGGGGTAGTCGACTGTGTCGAGGCGTTGCGAGCTTTCCGGAGCGAGAAAACGAGTTGCTGGGAGGCTGCGGTCACGGCCACGGGCCTGCCTATCCTGCGTGTTGTGTATGACCCATTCAGAGCGCCCCCGTTCTCGCGCAATGCCGTGCTGAAGTGTCGGGAAGCATGTCGGGTCGACGGCTGTGACAATGTCTATACAGGCGTTAACAGGGGACGATCAGAGCAGAGAGAAAGCCAGTCTCTTGATGAAGAAGATCGGGGCTGGAAAAGGCAAGGGGAATGAAATACTCACTGTCCTTGCGAACCCCAAGGCCGGGCTGAATCGGAGGACGCCTCTGCTGGGAAGCATCTTGTACGGCAGTAGCTGTGGTGGTAGATGCTCGAACCGCAAAGCTGCCGTCGCGGGTCAAAATTTCAAGTCGTATTTCGAGGGCTCGTCCCGAAGATTTGGGTGGGTCTGGAGCATTCGGCGAGTAAGCTGGGCCCCAGGTACGAAGTGGGGCTGTGGTAGGGAGATCTTGAACGGTATTGTACGGTACACAGATAGGGTACCTCCGTTGCGACTGATGTACGGAAAGTAATCCTTGTCACAGACGACATGGCAAGCAGGATCAACGACGACAACTCGGGAAAGTCGATATAATCAACAATGTAGACAACGCCTCTCCGCTTTGGAACATTGATCAAATCCCGTCGTACATCTGTGGTGTTCACGCTGATATATACAAGTACAACTCCCTCACCCGTACAGCGGCGGGGAGAATGTCCGTAAATGTCGTCCAGCATACTAGAACAGCCGTGTCTGGAGACGGCCGGATGCAACCCGTCGTCCAAGACGCCACTCTCGGCTTTCCAACAGATGCGGAGGGGGGTTCAAGCGGCAGCCACACGGACCCCATGACTTCCCCGCTCCGTTGTGAAGTGCCACGCCCAAGCATTCACTCCAAGCTTGTCAGGTCATCCAGCTCATTCCTCCGCCGGGGCTTTTCCACCGCCTCAATACCAGGACCGATAGAATGTGCTTGTCGCCTCGAGACCGGAAATACCTAGAATGTCTGGGATTAGCATTGCCGCACGAGGACCGTCCAGCAATAGACCGGGACTAGCTGTGAATGACGTACCCTCGTGTTGCTCCACCCTAGCCTGAACGCCGCCTCATGCGCAAAGAGCTCGCCGAAACCAAGCATCATGCCATTAACAAACGGTAGCAGCAAGTTGATGGCGGCGCCGCGGAGAATGGACCAGATGGTGGGTGGTTGGTAGAGAATGACGGCTGGAGACGAGGAGGAGGGCGGCGAGGTTACAAGTTCTTCGTGGTTTGAATATTGCTCGCTGTCTGACCGGATCGTGACCCCGGACTCAGCCATGGGGTTTGGCGGCTCGTCGGATGCCATCGTAGAGGCTTGAAGTGTTTTCGTGGAGGTTTGTCGGGGTGAGCCGACGCCCGGAGCTCACTGCTTGACGTCGCAAATTGCCAAGACGCGACGGGAATCAAGTGGAACAGGAGCGGGTGTCGGCGGTCGGGGCGTATTGATCCGAGTGTACCGAGTAGCTAAGTATAGTAGTCAAAGCCAAGCGTTCACTGTCCAAAGCAAAAGCGCGAAAGGAGCAAGGAAATCGCAAGACACAGGCTAACACCTTTGCAAAAGAGAAGATGTCGGAGATTTTTTTTGCCTGCCATGTCGAAAATGGGGATGCAGTGCCTGCCGGATTATGTAAGTGGAGTCGTTCTTTGGTGGGCTTGGCTTGAATGACGCGGGGCAATAGGTACTCACACGTCGTTCAGCTGCCTGATTCCGGCAAACCATACAACCGACCACCGGACTTTCCAGAACAAAACAGTAACATCTCCTTCCTTGTCCCGCAATTACTTCTCTGTCCTGCACCGCGATTAACTGGGGCAAACAAAATAAACAGCGCGATCGCGAAGATGGCTGACCACGACACATTAATCAGCAACTTCTGTGAGTTGACGGGCGCAGCACCGCACAAGGTAACTGCACTCTAGCTCTGGGGTCCTGAAATCTTATTTCTGACCATTGCAGGCCAACCAGTATCTCAGCGCCAGCAGTTGGGACATTGACTCCGCCGTAACTTCCTACTATGCCGACATGGAAGAGGGCGAGCAAGCTCCCCGGGATGAGTACACCGGTCCCAGAACGTTGGACGGGCGTCCCGCACCTGGAGCCGCCTCTGCTTCGTCCTCGTCGAGAGCCAAGAAACCGCAAAAGCGCACTGGTATGGCCACGTTAAGCGATCTAGGCATCGGCGGTCACGACGACTCAGATGACGACGATGATTATGAAGACGACGATGACGAGCGGCGCGGGCCTAGGGATCTCTTCGCAGGCGGAGAGAAGAGTGGCCTAGCTGTCCAAGATCCCGCTCAGCGCTCGTCTGATCCGCGGAGGCTGATCAATGACATCGTCGCCAAGGCTCGGTCGTAAGGATTGGCACAACACCCGTTCCTTCGACAGTCGAGGGCTAACATGAAGCGGCACCAGGAATGCTCGGGAGCCTAACGAAGAGTCCGCCGGTCCTTCAACAAGATCCCGATTCCGGGGCACCGGCCACACACTTGGCGGCGAGGGTGTAGAGAGCCGTGAGATCCCCGACCCCCGCGGCAGCGCCATTCCGACCACCACGACCGACGGCCCCGTACAGGAGCGAATCTTGCACATCTGGAACGACGGTTTTAGCATCGACGACGGGGAATTGCGGCGATTCGATGATCCGCAGAACCGGGCCGATCTACAAATGATTAGAGAAGGACGGGCGCCGATCCACCTCATGAACGTGCGGCTCGACCAGCGTGTTGACGTCAAGCTCCAGCAACACAACGAGAACTACCGGCCCCTGCCTAAGGTGTATCGCCCCTTCAGCGGCGAAGGCCGGCGCTTGGGAAGCCCTGTTCCGGGCGCATCCACGGCACCGCCGCCGCGTCCTATCGCGACGACCACCACCACAAGCCAGGCCGTGGCGACGGGTGTGGACGAGTCGCAGCCGACGCTGATGCTCCGTATTCAGCTTCCCGACGGTACTCGACTGCCCGCGCGGTTCAACACGAACCAGACGGTTGGCGATGTCTACGAGTTCATAGAGCGTTCCTCGCCTTCCCTCAACAGCCGTCAGTGGGTCCTATCCACCACCTTCCCGAACAAGGAGCACGAAGAGAAGGGTTTGGTCCTGGGCGAGATGCCCGAGTTTAAGAAGGGTGGCACTGCCGTTGTAAAGTGGAAATAGAGAGTGGGAGGGATTGCAGAAGGCTGGTCATGTGACTGGGGCTGCTGGTGTTAGGAGGCTGGGAGGATTGGCCAACACGGAGGATAGATGGGCTCGAGCCTGCAACCGTCATGCTCGTTTGAGGTTATGCATCGCTCTCCGCCACTAGCAGAGCATGGGACAGCGTGCCAACAAATAAACGGTGCATCAAAAGATGACCATGCCATTATGCTGTGATTGCCCACAACTCCTGATGCTTGCGAAAATCCCACCGTTTAAACAACCATGAACGCCGACGCCGTGGTATCACAGTCCGCTGCTTACCCTTGGCTCGCTCAAACCACTAGTTGGCCGCTTCAACTCTCCGGCGTCCCTACCACAGCCGCAACAGCCGTCTGCGCTGGCACCACAGGACCATCCAAAAACTTGAACCACGGCCTCGCCGCGGCCACATTCAACTTTGCACTGTTAAACCTCGCTTCCCCAGGCGGCATGCAGACCAGGATATACGTGTTGGTCGTGAACTTCGTCGCGAACATGCTAAACGTGGTGCCCATCTTGTATTCGAAATCCGAAAACTGCTCGGCGTTGCGCGGCGTGCCCGTGTACTTGGAGCACGTGTGCTTCCAGCTCTTGAGGATGTTGCTCATGCGCTCGAACCGGTCGCCGTACGGATTGCGCTCGCCCTCGCGCGAGGTCCACTTGGAGACGACCAGGAAGGAGGTTCGCTCAAAGAGGAGGATCTCGTCGGCGTCGATGGCGAGACCCAGGCTGGCCAGCTGCGTCTCGATCACGGAGAGGTTGGGCACCAGGTCGTGGATGATGCTCGCCCAGGCTTTGTAGAGGGATTGGTCCCATATGGAGGTCGCAAAGAGTTGAAGGTTTGGGGCCGAGTCTGGGAGTGTACTTGTGGCGGAGGTGGCGTTGATGGCGGAAGGGGTTTGTTTGTGCACGATGGCGACGGCTTCAGAGGTCTTGCGCCGGACAAGCACCGCGCGGTGCTCGAAGACGTCTTCGCGCGTCATGGGCTGGATCAGGTCCATCTTGTGGATGAGGACGAAGATCTTGGCCTCGCGCGAGTATTGCACCAGGGCGCTGATGATGTTGACATAGGTGGCCAGGTCGCGCTCGACGTCGCGGCTCTCAATGTCGAAGACGTAGATGAGCACGCCGACGTTGCTGAAGACGTGGGCGCGCTGCTGCGAGAGATAGTTTTCCATAAAAGCTTCCTGGCCGCCGCAGTCCCATAAATTCAGCGTCAAATTGCCAAGAAACTTGACGTGGGACAAGTCAATATCGATGGTTGCGCCTCTGAGAAGAGTCAGTGTGTGCGAGTGGCTTGAATAGAGGTCAGGATGAATCTCACAATCTGCGTGTGTCTCGGGCCAGGTAGTTACTGAAGATGATGCTGCGCATGCTGGATTTCCCCGAGCCGCTCTTGCCCATTAGCAGGACTTTCTGCTTCTTAACCTTCTTGAGCTGCGCTTGAGCGGCCGACGCAGCAATCGGATCACTCCCGGCCGCCGCAGCCGGTGAGGCACTCATCGTCGTGTCAAAGTAAGACATAGTAGTCAGTCAGCTCATTGGATAACTCAAAGTCTAACGTAAGATAACTACGAGATGAATATAAGGGGACAGAAGACGACGGGACGTCGTGCCAGTGAACCTAGGAAAGGCCATTGTGTGGGGCGGGTAGCACCGGTGATGTCCTGGGGTGTGTGGAGCACGGGCGTCGGGTCAACATCTCACGCCCACGTGACATGAGACTAAGCATAGTTCACAGAACCTTCATGTTGCTATCTCCGGCTCAAAAGCTGGTCAAATTATTGCAAAAGCTCATGGCACGTACCCTCCTTCTTGAGTTCAGGCATAATCGGTGCACAATGTCTATCTATGGGCTGTGTCATTTCCAGCCTCCGAGGTTGTCGAGCAAACCAAATGTAAATTAGGGTTAGGGTTAAAAGTAGCCCTTCCCTCATGCCCAACCCAGTCTTTTCCTTTTTATGTCAACCCCCCCCCCCCCCCCCCTGGCCCCCCCCTTTTTTTTTTTTTTTTGGTGGTTTTCCCAATTCAACCAGAGCTTACCCAGGGCAAAATCTCTCCGACTGTAAGAAACATTTCGTTGTCATCTCTTCAAGATAAACCATATAATATATTTATATAACTATATACTCAAGCAGTGGGCCGCGTTTTCATTCACCGCGTCATTGTCAACTCATCCTTCCTTCCGACTTATACCAGGCAACCTTTCTCTTACTACATAACCGGATAGCTCATTCGAAAAATGGCCTGATTTTATTTTATTTCCTCCTTATCGTTCCCCTTACAAAGTACCAATGCGATAGCGCCCTTTCTCCACCTCGGAGGCTCGGTCTCAAGAGTATTATTGCCAGAGAACTCCAGCCCAGCTCATTGATCAAACGCATTAGATTGATGGGGAATCAAAGGCATTTACTATGAAAGACATTCTAGGACAGTCTCATCTGAACTCTTCGTCAGTTCTGAGGACTGACAATGAAAAGACTAACGTAAAAGGCCACCCAATGTTACCACACCCCAATGGTTCATCATCCTTTGTCCCGATGAGACACCGCTCTGAAGAGCAGAGTTCTACACCACTCCAAAGTTCAGCATATACCACGTCTTGCGTGTTCACAATGAATCATCTGCAGTGGCAACTGTGTCCAGCACATCCGTTACACACGAAGCCATGAATATTTAACACAATGTAATGTCCAACAGCACCATGACCCACCGTGGACTTCAGCCCTCTTTTCCTCTCCATCTACCACCACCGCCAAACACCCTGTCGTCAGCTCACAAAACAACCATGACCAAATACAAAACCCTTCTCCTCACCCTCCTGGCCTTCACAGGTCCCGCAAAAGGCCACATGGAAATGACCTACCCTCCCCCTTTCAAATCCAAATCTAATCCACATGCCAACCCCAACAAGGTTGATTACAGCATGACCTCACCCCTGAAGCCAGACGGCTCCGACTTTCCCTGCAAAGGCTATCTGTCACTGCTCAACACCCCGGAGGGCAAATCCGTCGCCTCGTGGACGGCGGGCGGGAGGTACAACTTCACCATCTCGGGCGGCGCTGCCCATGGTGGGGGTTCCTGCCAGGCCGCGCTGTCTGTTGATGGCGGGAGGACCTTTCGGGTCGTGCATAGCTACGAGGGCGGATGTCCTGGGCAGGGGGAGAGTTCGTTTGGGTTTGTGGTGCCGGGGGATACGCCGGCCACGGAGCAGGGGGTGTTTGCATGGACGTGGTTTAATAACTTGGGGAATCGCGAGATGTACATGAACTGCGCAGTTGTGGGCATTGACGGAGGAAGTGGTGGTGGGAGTGATAGGGTTGCGTTTGACGACAGGCCTGGGCTGTTCACGGCCAATGTTGGGAATGGATGCCGGACGGTCGACTCAGCGGACCTCAAGTTTCCCGATCCTGGGCCTGATGTTGACTCTCATGAGGGCGCGAAGCCAGCTACAGGAAGCTGTGGAGCTTGGCCCTCTTCTGGTGAAGGGAGCGGTGGATTAGGGGCCAGCGCTGGGAGCTCCAGCAGCACAGGTGAGAGCCTCGATTCTTCTACACGAGCCTCCCGGATGCCCTCTTTGACTCGAGCCCCTCTCACCATGGCCTCTTCCCCAACCGCGTCATACTCGTTCGGAGGTTGCCACCCTGCACCGACTTCAACTTCCGTCCCAGTTACTAACGACTCGGGCACTGGCAAAGGATGGACGCCGGGGAATGATTGGCCCTCCTGGTTTCAGTCGGGTGCTTCCAAAACAGGTGGTTATGCTTATTTGATGGTCTTTCTCTGGGCGGTGTTTTTGGCCCACTACGTCTTTTGAGAACTTGGATGGAGCTCATTCCACAACCACCGAAGGGGTGGACACTAACATTGTTCACTTCCCATTCGCCATGTTGTTGGAAGCTAAGATGCCTTAAAGTAGAGCATAGATCGATCGCTTTGGATAGTGCGCAGCTTGCTGTGAATCTACTAGTCGCAAACACCGCTAAATATTATTAGTATTCCTACACCGCTGTGCCCTAGGGCGTGCCGGACCTTCAACAACTTACTATACAGGAAAACCG